AAGTTGGGTCTGCCGACACTCTTTGTCAACACAGTGAAAGCTAGCTCTAAATTTGGAAGTCAGGTGAAAAGAGATTTGGGGTGTCATATGTGACTAAAAGTATTCTCAAAACTGCCCAGTTCTGAGCTGACTTACATCTATCTTGAATAACAGTGTGGGCAAACCCCCAAACTTGAATCTGGAAATGCTTCTGTAACTTTTTCAGCTCGCAGTCATTCTTTCATTACAACCTTTGAAAGATTGTTTTCTGTATCCCCTTCTACTGTCCTGTGGTCTTGCGTAAGAGTCGGGTCACAACGGAAGTGGAGAATATAACTGATGAGTCAAATTTGATTTAAACTAATCAACTATTTTTTCTGGAAGTAACACGATGTTGTTTAGTATTGTTTGGGAATTTTTTTTTAGCTTAAATTCAAATCAACAGTAAGTAAGTGATAGCAACCTGTTTTGAAACTGACCTTGCTTGGAGGTACTGACAGAGTTTCAGAACTGACACATGTAGTAAATCTGTTGTTATATCTAGTTCAATTGTATTATTTATGTCACACAAAGGTTCAGAATGTAATTTTTCTTTATAAGCTAAAATTGGGACAAATGTATTTTCATTTGTATAGTAGCTATGAAATGGCCTTTGAAGAAGAAAGGCCTTTCTGGAAGTTAAATAAGAAATTGACTTTGTAGAACATTTGCATGCCTATTTAAAAAAATGGAAAAAATGGTTTCTTTTAGGACTCTCTCATTCCTGGGGATGAGTTTATGTCTTGCCTTGATGTTCATTTGCTCTTGGTACTATGCTTTGATTGCCATGCTAATCGCAGGATGTATATACAAATACATAGAATATAGAGGGTAAGACCATATATCTTATTTATTCTATATTTAATATCTTTAACAATCAGCAAAAAGCACTTTTCTGTAAAATAGATACAACTGAAGTAATAGAATTAAGAGTATTCCTTGAAACAAGGTAAGATCCCGTCTCTGTTAAGGGTTGTAAGTTTTCAGGTTCTAATTTCTCTGGAAGCTCTGTTCCAAACTTCTCGACAACTAGAACTAATCAAAATAAGAACCAATAAGGCTGGGAAATTTTCATTTGAGCAGAGATTATGGTGTAAAGTTTTGGTACTTCAGGAACATCACCTTTTAGTACCAAGCAGCAACTATTACAAAACTGTTACCTTCTTATTAACTTGTGCTAAAGCCCAAAAAACTCTATTCTTTTGTGTGGACTTTAGCACTTTTTAGAATGGATTGTTCAGTATGATTCAGAGCACCCACTGAAAATTATCTGTTTTCTGAAGGCTTAGATAGTCTTTAAATTGCAACATATTTTGCATTGTATGCATTTGACAAGGGACATGGGCAGAGCCACACCTGTAAGAAATGCTGTGCAAGTAGGAGACTTAAAAGGCATGCTGAGTTCATTAAAAAAAAAACCCTAAACAAAACAAAAAACCCAACCAAACAAGCAAAAAACCAACCAACCAAAAAACCCCCCAAAAAAACCCAACTGAAAAAAAATCCAACTAAACATAATCACCTCTAGTGTTTGGATGTGTTGATCAGTAATGTGTGTGCTTTCCCTTTCTAAGGAAAGATACCCAATGCTGAAAGATTCTAGTCAAGAAAAATAGTAAGATCTTGGAGCAGGAAATTGAAGCGAGGCCAGTTGTTTTGATGAGTGATTAAGCACAAGTCTTAAGTGGATCAGCTGGTATAAACTGCTCCACCTTGTGGGTTCATCTTTTAATATCTCCATTTCCAGGTGAGATGTTTTCCTGGATTGTAACAGCTCCATTTACTGGGTTAATTATAAGGAAATTAATTTGCCTATTTTAGCCAGGAAGTCAGATCAGATGATAACAGTTCTGCATGTGTGTATATGTAGGTATGCACATACATAAAATTATACGTACATCCAAATTTGTATACAGGCTCTACAAATGTTGCCACATAGCCAGCACATCTACCCTGCAGAAAGACATTCTTTTTTGCAGAAACTTAACTTCTGTTCTCCCTGCCTTTACAAATGCAGGGGCTGATTTGGCGGCGGGGAGAAACTCACCCTGAAATGTTCTAAAAACTGCTGTCTGGAGAAAACCTCCGTTTTTATTTTAATTTTTGGCTAAGTAAAAGAAACTTACATGATTGTGCTGTCTGTCAGGGTGCATTTTAATTGCCACGTTGTTCTTTAATAGCTTTTGAATTCAGTTTGGCTTATTTCATCTAATTTCAAAAGAAGGCTAGGCGTAACAAAGTTCAGTGAGAATTCATTAATGGAAATGAGAGGAAGGTAGAGCAAGGGAGATGGACCCCTTGCCATAGTAGAATCTCCACGAAGGGAAGTAATGTGTTAGCCTAACAGTTCTTTCTTATTTGGTTGGCCACCTGGCGCATAACATAGCTTTGTATTGGGAGAAAGAGGAGTGGAAAATGTAGGGAGATTTAAAGCAAGCAGGAGGCCGGATAAAGCTTTAGGCTCATCTGGGAGAGAAGCTGGGAAGGAAAGGAAGTGGAGAAAGCTGTAGTGGTGGTGTTGGGGGAAAGATATAACACTCTAATCCATACAAAGTCAAGTTTCACTTACTCATTCTGCTGCTTTAAAACAATTCCTTTTAAGTAACCCTCACTTATTCATTTTAGTGCTTAAAAGCAACTTAAGTAGCTCTCATGATTAAAAAAAGCTTTTGAAGTATCAATAAAATAGACCATAATAAATATTAATGAATACTTAATAAATAGTTCTCTTGAAGGGACCTGAGACTGCTTCATCTTGGCTAGTCTTCATTCTTGATTTAAATCTGCAAGATGAGTTTTTAATGCATTCATGCAAAAAAGAGTGTTTGGGTTTTTATGCCCACTATACCTCATATGAGAAAATGTACTTAATTTGTACAAAATAAATGGGACCCTGTTAATTGAATCTCTTCTGCACCCTGAAGAGCGGAAAAAGAATGGGGTGATGGAATCCGAGGACTGTCTCTGAATGCAGCTCGCTATGCTTTGCTTCGTGTTGAAGATGGTCCTCCTCACACCAAGAACTGGAGGTAAGTCCTACGCCTTCCAAGGTCACATAATTCTTGAAATATGTAAATCTATTGGGAATACTGCTGGTAAAGCTAATGGCCAAAGTGAAATTCACCATTAAAATAATGTTTTAACTTGGGCATGGCAATGATGTAATTGCAATAGTATTATTTTACCGCAATAGAATGCGACTTATGGTCAGCACGTAATCAACCTTGCTGGCAATATGGGCAAACTAACTCAAACTTAAATCCATGTGATGTTGACGTAGTTCCAATTCCATAAGTGGGGGTTTCTTTTTTGATTCTATATATGTTTCCTCTGAAATACACTCGATAAATATACAGAGGATCCATTATTTGTTTAAATTCATTTTTTGTGGCAATCTTTTTGATATAGCTTCATTTAATAATAACACTTTCTAAATTGCTTAGATATCATTAAAACAAAATCTCAGGTTTGCTGTCCATTTGTATGTAGCGGGGTTAGATGTCCATTACTGTTTTTGCAATATATTCGTTTTACTTGTTAAACTATAAATTTTCTCAAAACCAACACAAAAAAATTACTTAGCATTTAAAAAGAAAAGGATGTTGCACATTGTCACTTCTGATTAATGTAGTGCAAATCAGAAGAATTCTGAACAGTGAAACACACAAAAAAGAAATTGTTGCTAAATGTGATACTTTAATTATAATCACTGCTCTGTGATAGTATCCCTGGGTGCATGCACATGCAATGTTCTGTTGCTCTTCAGTGTAATGGCATTATTTTACCATTTGTTATGGAACTGATGCACATAAGCAGTTACCACGGAATACATGAGCCACTGTCTTTATCTGTGTCTGAATTTGGCATCTCAGAGGCACCAATGTAATGTAGTGTTGACTAAGAGCATTCCTGTTAAATGTCTGGCATTGCTTCAGTTCCAGATGAGCTATCCTTCTATTGTGTCGAAGTAATTGCTAGAACTGAACCTTCTTGTTACGTCTTAAATTGCGCTGGTTTTGAGGCTGGAAATACGCTCCAACTCCTTGGCATTCTTTTGAATTTGTAGTAATGACAGGAAAATTATAAAATCCTGGTTTGGGAAAAGTAAGCAGGTTGGATATTGATTAAAGGAAATGGAATGCATCCTCATCAAGCATGCAGTTGAAACTGAACTTGGGGGTGCTATCAGTACGGTTAAGTGTATGACTGTCCTTTTGGAAGGACCTATGCAGGGAGAGGAATGGGTCGACAAGAACATCATGAATATCCAGAAGGACAAGTGCAAAGTCCAGTACCTGGAACAGGCTTGTCCAGTGCAATGGTACTCTGCTCTGGGGAAAAGGACCTGTGGTTCCGAGTAGATAGTAAGCCAGCAGTGTGCCTTGGCAGTGACATGCTGTGCTGCGTCAACAGGAGCATAGCTAGTATACTGAGAAATAAATATATTGGGAAATAATATTCCTCTTTGCTCAGCACTCATTAGAGTACATCTAGAATATTTCATCCAGTTTTAGGCACACTAGTATAGGAAAGACATCACTAAGCTGGAGTGAGTTCAGCAGAGGACCACCGAGATGATGGTTGGGGTACAGGAGCATATCTCCTGTGGGGAGAGGCTGAGGGAGCTATGCTTATTCAGCTTGGAGGAGGCTTAAGGGGAGCCTAAAAGCTGATATAACTAACTAGTAAACATCCAGTACCTAAAAGAAGGTTACTGAGAAGATGGAGTCAAACTCCTTACAGCAGTGTATGGTAGGAGAATGAAAGAACATGATAAAATGGAGAAAGAAAAGAAATAAAAATTGAGATGACAATAACTAAGCACTGAAGAGCTGGATGGAGCTGTAAACAATCTGGTGTGCATTCAATGTTTAAACACTTCAAGCAGCAGGTTGCACTAGATGACCTTGGAAGGGTGATAATTCTGATTCAATAATTTTCTTGGTAAAACTATTCTTTAAGGTAGCTTTTCAGAATGACGGTATGGTGGCTCATGTAGGTATTCTGTACCTAAAGTGTTGTTGCTATTGCAAATTATGACTGCGTTACTTGATAGTTGAATATTTTCCATTGAATTAAGCACTTAATCTGCATTTTATTAACTGTTAATTTTAATTTTCCAATTCTTTCTTGCTTTTCTATATATATGTGTGTGCGTGTGTTTAACTTTTTTTTTTTGGCAGGCCTCAACTTTTGGTCTTGTTAAACTTGGATGGTGAGCAGTTGGTGAAACATCCTAGATTGCTTTCTTTCACCTCTCAGTTGAAGGCTGGTAAAGGACTGACTATCGTGGGCTCTGTGCTTCAGGGAATCTTCTTGGATAAATGTACAGAAACTCAGAAAGCTGAAGAGGTGTGTGAAAGACAGCTTACAAACACTTGTAACTTCCATTAGTATTTAAATGTTGAATCTGGATAACTCATATCTTGAATTAGAACAGAACTGTTGTAAAGTATTGAATAAACCATCAATTTTTTACTATCAGCACAATCAATGATTATATATAAAGAATAGGGTTGTGTGTGTAGTTTTTTGTTTTATAAAATTTCCCAATAGGATGAGACAATGCTGATACTTCTTAGATTTTTATTTTCTTTAATATTGAAAGCCCTGGGCTCACAATCAAATTACATTCTTGAAAAAGCCAAGTGATAGATTTTATTTTTAACAAATTACCTTATACAGAAAACAGATTTATTTAACAAAAAACTTAACATTTATCTAACAAATGCAGATGTGTTTGGCATAATTTCATCCTCTGGATGTATGCATGATATTATTTTCTACATTGTCCTAGAAATACATAGCAGAGCTAGGGTTAGGAGCAGTCTTTGCTGGAATCCTACTCTGTTGCTTAACTGTAAACAGCATCCTTCTTGAGATCCTTTATTTTCTTTCTCTTTTTTTTTCTTTCCTATCTATCCCATATCTCCAGCGAAGGTAGGATGAGGTAGGAAAAAAATAGTAAGTTGTCATGTAATTTAAGATGACCTCTAACTGTGGTTACAAATACAAGTGAATTTAATTTGAATGTTTCTCTTTTTTCCTGACAACTTGTCAGTATTTGACTGTGCTACCCAGTTGGAAATACATAGATATTTTTGTGGGAAGCCCTTGAAAATACCCGGACTTAATTTTAAATTTTCCCCTGAAGGAAAAAGGGAAGTTAACAGACTGAGCTTCTGAAGATCCATTGTTCATACAGCTTGGACTTTCAGTGCAAAGCACGTTTCCCTTTTTGTTCGGTCTTAAACAACTCGTGTACTTCTTTGTTTAATCCAGTATTGGGGTAACTTGGTATAGATGATTATTTTTGCTTACCTACACAAACTCTCCTAACTTTATAGAGTGGGGAAACATTTTTAGAAAATACCATGTTTCATGTATTTTATTAAATACTATTGAAAAATCTATTGCCTTTAGAAAACTACTATAACGTCTACTCCAAAAGTTGGCTTTGATTGCCATTATATCTTCAGTGTTGTTGAAAAGAGTATCTTGTCTGCTATTTTGATCCAAGTCATCTTCAAAGCTCTGTAAAAACGCCTGTGACTTACTCAGACCTGGTATCTCTAAAATAGATGAGCATTTATGATGTTGAAATGGGCTTAACAAAGCTAACTGCCCTTTTTCTCCCAGCTTTTTTTTTTCTCCCTCTTGGTATTCACACTTGTCCCTAGTGGTTTTTAAAATAACAAAGCGTGAAGCCAGATGGACTACCTGATATCATATGAAAAGGCTCCAAGAGAGCAATTAGCTTGAAAACATGGTGGAAAAAGTCTAGCAATGATATATTGTGAAAGTAATTATTAAGCTGTTGTTGTTATTAACACGTATGAGTAGAAAACAAGACCAAGAATACAATCAGGCCTTTGAAATAAAACAAAGAAAACCTTTAAACAGAAACTGTTAACCATGAGGATTTGAAATGTTACCTGTAGTTGGCTTAACTTGAAGTCAGCTACATTTTTGAGAGGTAGAACACGAATGAATTTAAGGGAGACCTAATCCCTGGGTTCTCTAGAAAGTCCAACCTGGTGTTAAGATCGAGGAAACTATTTGCTTTTAAAATGGAAATGAAGATGAATTGTAAAAGTTTGAGTGCCTGGAGGCCTCACTGGTTTTGGAAAATTTCAACTAGAAAATGTTTCTAGAAGATTTGTAGGAAATCAAGATTTCTCCTGTCTGTCTTTTAAAAAGAAGAAAGCATCTATTTAAACTGATATGCCCTCGCAGATATTGTTTGCACAGACGGACTTGTTAGCTTTGCTACCAAATTCTCTGAAGACTTTTTTTCTCTACTAACCAGAATTTCTGATGTGAAGCCACACTGAGCCAGTGCCAGGCATTCTATGATCAAATCTGTTCCTGATGGTTTTTAATAGGAATTTTGGTGCTTCCAAAATTCCAAATTTTGATGTGCTGGTTCTTCCTTCTGAAACCATGCTGATCTCCCACACAAGGCATTGATGATGATGGGATTTTTAAAGTCATGCCATGAAAAGATAGTAAATGCCAAAGCTGATGTTTCCTAGTCAACCTTGATACAATTTTGAATGCTACTTTTAAATTACTTGGTTATGTGTCTGTGTGTTTGTCAGTGTTTAAATGAAGGGGAGACGTCGAAATTAAAGGGGTGTGGGAGATTTAATCTAGTCAGTTCATCTTGTCATTATTCAACCAGTGATTCCAATTGTCTCCTGCACATCTATTTTTTCCGTGTTGGGAGTTGATAAATAAAGAATCAGCCTCTTAATGTCCAAGTTGTTTAAGGAGCTTTGACGGCCTCTTCTTCTAAAGTCCTTGGCATCACGTTTTTCCAAACCTTCCAATTCCAAAAGAAAAGACTTGTCATTCCAAACATACGGTGCTTTGTCAGTCAGCAGTTTTGACTTTACCTGAAGCAGCGTTACTTCATTTATTTTTGACAATGTGGTTTTATTCGTGTCTTTTTCATTCTTCTTTGGAAATAAAAGGCTGAATAATTAAAATAATGAAAAACCTCTGTGTGGTGTCTTCTGGGGAGGTGGGTGTTTTGGGTTTTAGTTGTCACAGAATCATGTTCCCTCTTTTGGAATTAGCAGTTTCTTGATGTTGATTGTACACTGTAGCTAATGTTTTGCTCTTATTTAGTGCTGTTACTCCTTATGGTGTTTTTTACCAGTGGTGATGACTGCATTTCCCCATGTGTAATCTTCCTTTTGCAGAATGTTAAGGCCTTAATGGGAGTAGAAAAGACTAAAGGATTTTGCCAGATTGTCGTGTCTCCTAATTTCAGAGATGGAATATCCTATTTGATTCAGTCAGCTGGTCTAGGAGGGATGAAGCACAACACAGTCCTGATGGCGTGGCCACAGTCATGGAAGCAGGCAGAAAATCGTTTCTCTTGGAAAAATTTTGTTGGTATGTGTTTATTGACTTTCTTCTTTGCGTTTGTAATACAACTATGTAACTAATGTATTTGCTGTGTGGAGAAAATGTGATGCTGAACATCCGGTGGACAACTGAGTATTTCCCCACAGCTGATTTCACGTGGTGTGGGTTTTCTCAGCCCTCAGCCTCTTCAACCATGGCTTCTCTTGTTCTTCTCCTAAGCAGGTGAGTCAGTAAACCCAGGATGCTCCTCTTTTGCCTCAGCAGAATCTGGGAAGATTTAAGCTTTTGAATTTAAAACAAAAACAAAAGCTGTGAATGAAAACTAGTTCTTGATCAAATGTCTTGCTTTCCCTTGCAGACACTGTACGAGAAACAACAGCAGCTCAGCAAGCACTCTTGGTGGCTAAAAACATTGACTTATTTCCAACAAATCAAGAACGTTTTACTGAAGGCAACATAGATGTGTGGTGGATTGTTCATGATGGTGGTATGCTGATGTTACTGCCTTTTCTCCTTCGACAGCACAAGGCAAGGACAACAGAAAATGGCTGGGATTGCATTTTCTAGCAATGAGTAGTTCTAAGGGTTTCTAATGAAATACTCTATCAAGGTGAAAGAGTAATGCGTGGTGACAGCAATCACTGTGTTATGAATTGTTATAATGTATCTTTTTGATAGGTTTGGAGAAAATGTAAAATGCGTATCTTCACTGTCGCTCAAATGGATGATAATAGCATTCAAATGAAGAAGGATCTTCAGATGTTCTTATATCATCTTAGACTGAATGCTGAAGTGGAAGTTGTTGAAATGGTATGTTACTGCATATTTTTTTAGGTGCAACTGAAACTAAACTTGGGAAAACGGATTTAGCATTTTTGACACTAAGATGTTAGCCCAAATATAAAAAGGGGAAGATTGCAGTCCCACCAAGAACAAGAAGTTTTTTTAAAGCAACAGTATCTTACCATGTCACAATGCTAGTGTATGTGATGGTGAGTTTAATGGTTTTGTCAAGTAGAGTTGAGCCATTTTGATGTGTTAATGCCTACTTTATTTATGAGGACTAGTCCATAGAGATAGTTCACTCAGGAAGGAAAAAGTTTGAATTTTTAGCAGGCAGTGAAATGGAAGACTGAATGTGCTTAATCTAATAATCCATGGCATCCAGCATGAGAGAGGATGAACATGTCTGTGTCTCCAACTGCTGTATGAATATCTCTCTAGAAAAAGGAATCCCTAGGCCCCCATGAGAGTATGTCGGTTGGTTTTGGCATTGCCAGCCTCTTTGGCACTGAACAGCAAGACAATACAGCTAGAGATTCACAAGTCAAATGGTGGCAAAATGAATTTTGTAACTTTTTTGCCTTTTTAAATACTGGTCGTAAACTGCTAAAGAGAAAGGACTAAAGCTGTATTCTGTCTAGACACGCTTTTTTTTGGCAACTAAGGAAAAAACTTTATTTCCAGCACTCAAAGGTGACGAGCATAATGTCCAAAGACCAAAAAAAAAAACCAAACACCACACCCAAAAAACCCCCAAGCCTTGCCCTTCCCCCACAAAACAGAAACAAAAACAAAACAAAAAAACCCAACAACACCTTTTAAACTCATTCTGAAGTGGGATGAAGAAGATGGGTCAACTGGTTCAAAACTTCTGCCACAACCAGTTCCTGGAATGAACAAAACCTATCAAAAAGATTTATCATGTTAATCAGCCATAAAGCAAATTCTAAGAATCGTTTAAGTTACTTATAAAAAAAATGGCTTATGAAAAATTTGGTTAGTATTTTGAACTAGGAAGTAAGATAAATCTTTTTTTTTTTTTTAATTTATTTTTGTTTTGTTTAGAGTTCTGAATATAAAAGACTAAAATGCTGTGGCATGTGCAGGTGAAAGAAGACAGTGCCATAAAAAAGGCTCAGCCTTGGCTGGATTTTGAGCAGAAGATAGTATAGGAAGCACAATTTATTCTTTTCTTATGTGGGTCGTATTTAACCCTGAGAATCTTCCAAAAGATAAGAGGCATGTTACGAGTCAGTGACAACACAGATGACTGCTATAGATTTTTACGTTGTATTTTAGCTTTGAGCTGATGTGAGAATATATGCCAAGTTTCTTCATAAATGCTTCTGTTTGTGCACATTTCTCACTGGTGAAAGGACAATGTATTATTTTGTGGGTCTAGACAGTTTTTAAGCGCACACGTGCTCAGGAAGCAGCAATGCAGACCCAGTTTAAATAAGCGCTTTCAACCCTTTGTCTTTTCTGCAGCCTAGTTGGAACAGAACAGTGGAAACTCTGTCCCAAGTACCTCAAATTTAGATAAAAATCACATTGATATTGGTATAGTAGGATAGCTCGATGTATGAGATTGCTGTTTGAAGATGAAGTTTTAAGAATGATGGATCAATTATATGCTTGGGATTACGCTGATGCCATAAATACATCCGGGACGGAATGAATGCAGGAATGAATGTGGTACACTGTCTAAACGTTGTTCTTCTGAGCAGTACTTTTCTTCTGATGTTTCTAATGCCAATCTCTTTTTGCAGTTTGAAAACGATATTTCTGCATTCACATATGAGAAGACACTTATGATGGAACAGCGATCTCAGATGCTAAAACAGATGCAGCTATCAAAGAACGAAAGGGAAAGATCGGCTTGGCAAGATGCTCTGTGAAAAATCTGAAAGTAGTATTTCTTCGTAGAAGTGGCTTCTAATTAGTTTCTAACTAGTCAAAAGCTTTTATGACTGCATTCTATGTTAGTTTCTCTACAGTGGGTTTCACTTGCAAGGTTAAAATAATCGAGGGGGGGTGGGAAATCCTCTTTTATTTGAACAGTTGTTTAGAGTTTTCCTGTTCTTGTTAAGATTAGTGCAAGTATTTACTAGCAAAACATTTGAGCATCAGTGTGGAATATACCCAGAGCATTTCCAAACTTGACATATATCAGTAGCTAAGGTTCATGATTATTCAGCTGGGCTGATTAGCTTTGTTTGTGACTTGGTCTTGTTCAGTTCACACGGACGATTTTTTAGTTTCTGCATTATTTTAAATGTTTTATGCATCAACTACTTGTTGTTTCTGGAGCCAAAATTAGGCTGACTAACCTATAATCCTATAATATCCAGATGGGAATGCTACGTTTACTGCTCCCCTACCCTTACTAGTCCCTGGTGGTATTTTGCACGTTGTAGTGACAAGCTTCATGCAGCTGTATTTTTGTGAATATTTGTACCTTTTAAATCTTTTTTTTTTCTTTTGGCTTGTCCTTCTACCCCCTCATTTCTGTTAACTATCCCATTATTATCAACACTTTCTAGTGATGTAAAAGGTATTAAATGCTTTGGCTTTGCTGTCACTTACGGTGATTTCCCTCCCATGCCAAATCAGAGATCTCTACTGTGTCTAACTGCTCATTTGTAAAAAAACTAGAATTTTTTTTTCTTGTGGCTTTTTTGTCTACTGATAATTGTAACTCATTTTATACCTAAGCCTTTTTGGTGTTAATCCTACAAGTCCGTGCAGTTGTGTTTGTTGGTTTTTTTTTTTTTTAGTCTCTCCTTATTTTTTTTTTTTTTTCCATTTCGCAGGATTTTTTTAAGGTTCCTAAAGGTGCCTTGTATTGCTACAACAATGTGCTGCTGTAAATCCTCTTTCTTCTTATCTGCATCATGGTAGTTTTCTTTTGATCTGAGCCTGCCTAACATCTTTTCAGTAAAAAACAAGCTCTCCTGTACTCCTTACTCAGTGTTTTTAAATTTTTCTCATCTCTTTATTGAACACTAGTATTTTTCCAGTGGAGTTTGAGTGATTAATCAATCTACAGTGGGCTTTTAAGAATTTAACTTCCTCATGAATGCTTTCCAAATAGCCCAAGGGCATAAGGCTCTGTAGTCTATGCATATAAATTGTAGTGGAGACAAAAGAATTTCTCCTCAGCTCTGTGAGTTGGTTGGAATCTGCACTACTTCAGTGCGTTGTTTGCTTGGAAGTTTTCATTTCTTTCTTCTCCCTCCTCGCTCATGTTTGTTTGGTGTTTTTTTTATTACTCACTTTTATCTGAATGCAACCATCACCATTATAGTTTCAGTTTGTTCCTTCATATCAGGCAGGGTAAAATCTGAGATGTTCAAAATACCATGGAATTGATTTCATGGTCTGAAGTAAAATCCTTGATAATTCCAAGAACATCTAGTACTTATTTCCTGCCTTGTCCAAAAATAAAAGCCATATCCATCTGTTTTTTCTGATTAGCGTACCTTAATCTACCTTGTTCTTTTGTATTTTCATCAGAAAATGTTTTTTAGTTTTGCCTTCACTTCCTCTGGAGTTGCAAGTTGAGTATATGCACTCAGCGTGCCAGGCCCTCCCTTAATCTGATTGTCTTGTCTTAAATGAGCTGAGCCATCCCCTCCAGTTTTATGATGACCTCCAAAACATTTCTCTCATTGGTATCACTAGTTCAAGTTAGTATTGCTTTTGTTTTCATTATCTGTCTCCAGACATTCAAATATAACCCTGATATTCCAGCTTTGAATGATGCTTGTAGTATTGAATGGTGCTCGTAGTATTGTTACCACCAAGATTAGTATTTTAATCTCATTTTTGTGCTTCAAATGAGGTTCAGACCTTCATGAGGAGGAGAATTTGTTTTTGTACAGCATTCTTTTGCTGTTTCCCTCGTAGGCGTGCTCTTATCCCGAAGGAATCACCCTCCCTGTGCCCTCTTCTGTCACTTTTTTAAATGGAACTTTATTTGATCTTGCCCCAGGTTTTCTTGTGGAACTGGGGCATGGGGACTCATCGGATTTTTGTTTCCTTTTTTGAGAAACTTGGTTGATTTGCTTCTATTCAAGTGTAAATACAACATATGCCAGCAAAGAGTAAGATTTGCAGACTTAGGTGCAACTGCGAAACATTTATTTATTTGACTTTGACAATAGCGCTGCAAAGATGAAAGAAAATGTAGAGCCTCGTTCACTTCTTTGCTGCCCTTCCTAGTAGTTGTTGACTTCCTTCTCTAGTTAGTCCTGACTAATGACTGTTGGACCAGGCAGTGATATTGTTGGAACTGTGAGGAGGCAGTCATCCATCCCACCATTACTTTGTGTTGGGTTGCGCAGTGCAAGTGCTGTTGTGCAGATTGCTGCTGCTAGGTAAGATTGGCAGAAATGTGGGTGCATGTAGGTGAGGAGCACAACAATAGTTTGTGAATCACTGTGAAATAAAGCAGTGTTTAGAGTCCGAAAGCAGCTTTCTCAGCTGGTTAATTTTTTTTTTCATACTTTTGATTGTAACTGAATAAAATCAATTCATCTGAATCATCACATATATGAAGGGATGTGACCCTTGCAAACAAGTGACTATTTGAGGTTCCCATGTACACTAAAGGATTCAATCCGCTTCCTGTTTTCACAAATCTCTGTAAAGAGACTTCATAACTAACTGCTAAACATTTCAAAAAGAGCCCCATAGTATATATAAACAAATGGCATGTTTGTTAAAACAAACCAAGTTTATAACAAGCTACAATACGAAATCTCATCTATTTAAATGAAGACAATTTTTGTTGAATAATATGATCATTCGCTTTTTTCTATAGACTGTTTTTTTTTGTCATTGGTAACCTTTTTGTCCCAGATTCAGAGCATCACTGATGAGTCTCGAGGCTCAATCAGAAGAAAAAGCTACTCCAGTCCACAGTCCATTGGCCAAGATGCGCAGGCACTGCTGACTAGTGATTATCGAGAGGAGGAGGTAGTTGGACATAGTACTGGCTAGATATATTTTTCCATTGCAACACTTGAAGTGCCACTATTGCAAACTGAACTACAAATGAACAACTTGATTATTCATTGATATAGAACAGTTCTTCATAAATTTTAATTTTACTGTTTTTCTAAATTCATTCTTATCCTATATTTTTTCTCTAGATGATGCTTCTGTGACATGAACTACATCCTATTTTTCTCACGCTTCTTTTCCATAAAAGAAACACTTATGATTCTGAGAGTGCCTGTTTTTCTTAAGAGTCAGAAGCAAAGATATTTCTGTTTTCTATCTCTTAAGAAGTCTTAAATAGTGGGTGTTTCATTAATAAGCATATTTCATGCTTTCACAAAGCATTGCCTTCCTTTATAGTTCCTATGTTGAAGTACTGAAGTTTCTCAGAGACCATATAGATATACTCGGGCTTTTAAGGAGATTTCTATACTGATTGACAAGCCATTATTAACCCATAAATGTCATTACTACTTTCTGCATGGTGAGTTTAAAAGGAAATGTACTAATGTAATCAATGGTTCTAGTGTGCACTTGAAGTGTTGCTCATATCTAAAGATGTGTAGCCTAGTTTGTAGAAATGCTTGTATACCTTTGTTTGCCTTTCTTCATGAAGTATGAGAAGAATGTGTTGTATTCCATGTCATTAATTTGGTATCAAAATAGCACTAACAAAAATGTGCTTTTGTTGTCTTTGCATTTTTATAAACATGTGCTGTAGGTCAGAATTTCTCTTTGCCTCGCTGTCTTTCTAAAAATGGCAAAATTTCTTCCATTGAAGCATAGTTGTACTGAACTCATCCTACAGTCATTAGTTTGAAACTTTAGTTCATTAGATACTGCTGTATGGCACATATAGTATCTGCATGTATTTGTTAGCTTTTTCTGTTCTCATGATAGAACTGTATTCACAGTAACTTCTGATTCGTAGTCTTGACTTGTGATTTAATCTTCTGGGGAGATATGAAGACCGTCAAACAAGTAGATATTTATGTGAACCTCAGAATTGAACTCTAGGATTTGGGAATCCTCAAGGATAGGGACTAGGGAAATAATTTAGGAAAAATACAGAAGCTCTTAGGCATTTAAAAACAGCTGCAATTACAGTTTGAACAATTAGGGGAATCACTGTTCAGAGATGGAAGATAGTTTTCTCATCTGCTTTGATTTTATTCATGCTTTTGATTGCGACCTGAATTAAATTGATTCTTCTGAATCATCACATATGTGGAGGGACGTGACCGTCACTAACGTGAATAATTGAGGCTCCCAAATGGAGCAGGGGCTTCAACTCATGATTTTTAACAAGCCTCTGAACAGACTTCTAACTGCTGAAGGCCTTTAAAAAACAAACAAAACCAAAGCAAAATAAAGAAACCCCCAAAACCTCCACACACCAAAAAAAAAACCCCCACCCCCCCAAAAAACAGAACACCCAAAACCACAAAAACAATCCTCCCCCCATACCAATTCACTTACGATTTTAAGAGTCTAAGGTTCTGTACTTGTGTGGCTTTTGATGGAAATACAGAAGCCTATGGAAAAAATATTGTGAGGGTAAGTAATAAATAACGTGTGTTAAATATTTCTTCCTTCTTTCCTCAAGAGGAGCAAGGGGAATGGGAAATGGAGAATACAGAAGTGTGTATGCATGTGGGAACAACAATATTGTGTTCTTGAAGTTGTGATTTGAGTTTCTGCTGTTATAAGGGAAGAGAAGGCCCCTTCGTGGTTAGATTGATTGGCTTTTGTTATGTAATATGCACTTGCATGCATAAGTAATCTAACGGAACATAGCTAGCCTTCAAATCAGCCAGTCCAATGATGTGTTACTGGGACCATGAGTCATGCTGGTAGTTCAGCTAAAGGCATGTGAAATGGACAGTGTTTGCGACAGTATCTGAGAAAATAACAATGTATCTGTCTGGTATTTGTTCACAAAGTAAGGTGCATTTTTCTGTATCTTCTTTTGTTCCACTGCTGTGAACCTTCTTTTCAAAATTTTAATAATGTGTAATCTAAAAATGCTCTTTTTGGCTGAATCTTGGGATGATTGTTTTGTGGCCAGGCTCAGCTGATCCATGACAGAAACACTGCCTCGCACTCAGCTCCAGCGGTCAAAGCAAGTGTGGCTGCTGCTGTGCCAGAAAAAGTGCAAATGACCTGGACTAAAGAAAAGTTCGTAGCTGAAAAGCATAAAAACAAAGATTTGAATGTGTCTGGCTTTAAAGATATTTTCAACATGAAGCCGTAAGTATACATGTGCTGTTTGGAGTTTTGTATTTGTGTGTATTTTAGCACATGGTTTTTGGTGGTGGTGGTTGGTGTGGGGTTTGTTTCTTAAGAGATTGTGGTTTATTTAAAGTTAAGCACAAACATGATCTTTCATGCACTTCACTTAAATGCCATCCTTAGGAAACTAGCATGGACTTGGGTGGAACAACAATGACTATAAAGAATCATTCACAAGAATGTTGTGAATGAAGCCTAAATATGACAGACTTCAAGCTGTCACCTCAACTTCTGTACCAGAAAGCATATATGTTTAAATGCTTAATGATAACTTTTGTTTTTCTCTCTTCCTGTGGGTAACAAATTACTGTATATCACTTCCCAATCTCATTTAATGTGTTTCATTGGGGTGGAGGGAGTACCAAAGAAGCAGATAGATTCTTTCAAGACATTTAGCTTATGTTTTGGTTTTTGTGTGGAGTTGTTGTGGGTTTGGTTTTTTTAAACAGACATTCAGCCCTCATCCTGTAAATTAAAGCCATATAAAATTTGTGCTTCTATGTATGTCTTGTTATATTAAGTATTTCCTGTTGAAATATTCCTTAATATCTTTTTCTTAAATAGAAGTCACTTAATATATAAGAGCTACTGCCTGTGTCAAGCCTGATGTAGTAGACACAAAACTAATGACAGAAAGATATCAGCTTGTTTGCTTCTTCATGTTGCAATTCAAGCACACACGTGCATTTTTTAAGATCTGGAAGAATGCAGTTATGAGCATGGCCTGGACTATTTTCTGCACACGCCCAAAGCAAATCTGTGGATGTCAAGAGAAATTTTAATATCTAAAGAAAACATGTCTTAAATCTAGGACTTGTAGACAGTAGAGTTAGAAGGTACATATAGAATCAGCACCTTAAAATCCTAGATTGTTTTGTGGATTTGCTCTCAGCTCTTCAGAAACAATTTGCCTTCTGCAAATTCCAAACATCATCTTGCTCACCCTCTAAAGCACTGTTTTTGTTCTGGGTGGCATTGGACTCTAATTCTTAGGGTGTTTTTTTGTTAATATCTTAGAAATATTTCCTATTACTTCTTTAGAATTGTGCAAGATGCAGACTTCAGACATTATTATTTTAAAACTACTGTATGTGGTTGGGGGTGGAAATTACAGTTCAAACTTGGTGTGCCTGTACAATATATTAATAATGTTGAATTAGAAGTGTACCTGATGGCATATATTTTTTTTTTCTGTGCATTTGCTTCCCTTCCATGTAGAGAATGGGGAAATCTGTAAGTCTAAATTTTGTTTCACTTAAGCAACGTAGGCTGTGTTCCCTGGTTCTTGTGGTCTTGTACATTGTGTGTGTGTTTCCTAAATCATGATTTGCAATGTGTGTATTCTTTTGTACTTGTTTTATAAACTGTGATTTAGCATTTATCACTAAAAAATATTCTTTATTGTGACTTGTTAATGTTTTCTTCTAAATATTATCAACTTATCAAGGTAAGTCACAGAACGTATATTTTGGTTTCTGTAAGAATGTAAAACTTGACAGTACTTCTCTGCACCGGGGTAATATTTAGCTTTCTAATTAATTACATTAAAAAGTGAGTATATTTTTGTTCTGGAAAAATAGCCTCCATTGTGCTATAACTACTTGGACAATACGGATGAATTTGTTCACAAAGGGAACTTAAACGTTTCATCAAATGTCAGTTCTTGCCTCCCTTCTACCAACCCATTCATGTGTAGAAATAACACAAGTTCAGATATACTTTGGCTATGACAGCATACAAAAATGGGACACTAAATCTCTATTTGTTCTTGAGTGGAACTGACTTGTGACTGCTCTGCTTTTTTCCAGAGCCCAGTGTTTTCTTCATCTTGGCTGTTTAACAAATTGAGCTTCTTACGAAAACTCAGAAAGCTTACTTTGTGTGTTATGTATAATTTCAGTTCTACCAGTGCTTGATGGCTAAATGAAGTTAGTCAGCCTCAGTTCACATTGTACACAATTCACCTTTAGTCAATTTGAGCTGTTATTTCAGTGCTGAATTCTTGCCCAGTCCATCACAAGTTTACATCCTCCATATTTCCCCTGCTTTTTATCTTTAGTTTAACAATGTTTCTACTCCAATATTTGTACACCTCATCAGTTACACGCTCTTGCCTCTCTTCTTCATAGTTGTTCTTTGGTCTTCTCAAGCTTCTCTGCTTCTGAAAAACTGAGCTTCAAATATTCTTTTGTTCCATATATGGTTTTTGTACAGTTGGTTCTTAGGTCAAATGGCCGCTGTGACAGAAAACCTCCCAGGAGGGACTGATAAACTCAGTTTTGGAAATGTCATTGTCTTGGGGGAAAATGGGGGGGGGGGAGGGGCAGGGAACTCAAATTGAAATTGATGGGCCTGGTCTCCACTGACCATTAAACTTCAGGCCAAATGTCTTTTTCTTTCTAATTGCCCCTGCAAAATCAAGGATGAAAATACAACATGAGACATGCTACTTCTAATAGTATCCTGTTAACGGCTTTTCCTTTCATAGTAAAAAAAAAAGGGGACTTAGTAGAACACATGTATGTATGCTCCCAGCATTCTCCATCTTTCTTGGTCCCCTGTGTTTGAATGATCCTGTATCTGGCTGCTGTTCTCAACTCTACACTTGTCTATATAATCTGAGGGTAGCCTCTTGTTGCTAGAAGATTCTAGGATCAAGTGTTAGTGTAGTCCCCTGAAGTGACCTCTGGTAGTAGAACAAAGTTGTGCGTTTCCTTTTGTAAACTTTTGCCTCCTAAATGTTCTTCTTGTGGGAGAAGAGATGTCATTAATTTCTGTTTACTTGAGCTGAAACAGTGCTGGGGTTTGTGCTGTAATTTTGATTATTGTTACTGGAATTCAAAAGATGCCAGACTTGATCAGGCACTTCAGAGTATATCTTATGTCCTGTTGCTACTAACTTGCCAGTCATCTCTCTGCCATAGAGCAGTATGTGAGCCCAGCTGAGCAGGGGACAGTTGTGCTTTTTCTGTGAGACCACTAGTTACAGTGCTAAGAAAATTGCGTAGGATGGAGTGATATAAGTGTCTTATATCAGCATACCAGTATCTCAGTTCTTGAGATGTGCTGTCACTCTTACCCTTTGAAGTGACTCATTTCACTTGTAAAGAATCTACTTTTGGGCAGCGGATCTTTTGGATAAATGGGCTTAGGTAGAGTCTGGATATTTCTGTTGCCCTGTAGCGTATGATTCATTTCTAGTCTTGGCTAGTTTTACACAGATGGCAGTTTCTCAGGAACTATAAGGAAACTGTTCTTTTGTTTTGCAACTAACAAGGGTAGATCCTAAAGTAAGGAAACTTCTGAAGTCCTAGCAGTTTCATCCTCTTGCCCACAAATTTACAATAATTATATTTGTGGACACAACAAGCAAAGCATTAGTTAATATTGATAATGTAAGGGGAGAGGTTCAATTTCGGTTCATTGCTTACTGTGTTACTCTTATGACATAAGAAACTAATAATTTTTTCATAAAATCTATGCTGTTTCTGAATTTTCACCAGGCTTATAGTAATCTTGTAATGTTTCCAAAGGAGCATGAGTGAAATCTTGTACTATACAACATAAATACTGTAATCTTTCCATTGCATTCCTGTAATTCCTTTTTTTGGAATTTCTTGTACAAATCTAGTTACTTTTTTATATAATTTATATAATTCAATAAACTGGATTCTCGGTGGTTTTGACTAAACTTAATTTATATTGAAATTAAGTTTTTGCTTCATCTTTGTAAAAGAACTGATAGTTGGAAGACTTGTGCATTTTGGCAATCTGCTTAGAATTGCTTGAATTTGAGTTAAATGTTCTTTTCAAAGGAGAAAAACATGGTTTAAACCTAGGTATTGCATTTTTCTCAAATTTATTTTCAATGTGTACCAGTACTGCTGTCCATGAAAATAGTTTATCCTACATGCATAAGGATTAAATTTATATATTCAAATACATAACATATAAATCAAATACATAAGTATTGTGAAAATACTTAAAAATGTTTGTTTGCATGCTAGGAATCAGTCAAACGTGAGAAGAATGCACACCGCTGTGAAGCTCAATGGAGTAGTGCTTAATAAATCACAACATGCTCAGCTAGTTCTTCTGAATATGCCTGGACCTCCTAAAAACAGAAAAGGGGATGAAAACTGTATCCTCTACTATATCGCTTCCCTATTTCTTGAAATCAGGAGTGTGGTTTTTGTGATTGTGTCATGGTCTATTTGTTGGGATAACCATTAGTAACCATGGTAAGCATAAGCTTGCCTTTAAGAAAACAACTTTTGATTCCACAGACGGAGTTTTAAGAAGTGTTGGTAGTGGTGGGGTTTTTTTAATTGAATGGATGTAAAGCGTTCCCCAATTTTGAACTTATTTTTAAAATCTCTATTTTTATCTTTTCTGTAGGTGAGTAGGGCAGAACTAGAAATTTCCCCCAAATTAAGCCTTGCTTCCACTTGAGCAAGCAGGTGGATTACATAATGGGACAGTAAAGGGTAACACAGGAAAACTCCTTGATGAAATTGTTGAACTTGATTTTTGCATTATATATCAGACTTTTTGAGAGATTAGTGGCTATTTTGTTTCTTTTCTGAATAAATTCCTTGACTTAATGATATTTCAGACATGGAGTTTTTGGAAGTTCTGACAGAAGGTCTGGATAGAGTTCTTCTGGTCCGAGGCAGTGGACGTGAAGTGATCACCATTTATTCTTAACCTGTTTGCACGTTTTGTTCAAATCCCGCCTCACCCCCACAAAAAAAAAGATGAAACAAAGTTATTTGACATAATTTGAGCAGCTTCATTAAGAGTTCTAGTCCATTGAAAATTACCTGCAATCTGATGATGTGTTCTGGTTTTTCTATTAAAAAGTTGTATCTAAATTATATTTTAAGAAGATAGATTTATGTAGAAAATATTTCTGTAGTGAATTAATAAATGGTGGATGGGTTAGGATATTTATATGTAGCATATTCTGACACCTTGTTAAACTGTGGCAAAACACAAGAAAAGAGATGGTAATGCAATGGTATCTTTAAACATATAGAAATGTAAGCAACTTTTGATGATCTTAATCTTCGTTACGCATCTAAATAAAAGGGAAAGGTTTTAGGAGAGGTTGGCTTCTTCCCTTACCAAAATGCGGCTATGTTGCTTCTGTTGGGATTAGTCCTGCTTCAGGAAACTTCATTCAGAAACATATACAACCACTCAAATTTGTATATTATGTGCATAAAGTGTTTCTCCGAAGTTCATGATTTGCCACACTTGTTTTAAATAACATTTCTCTATTTAAAATACTTAGCCAGGTAGCTGAAGCCTCCAGGTGACAGTAATAATAAATTGTCAAGTTGTGTGGGTTTTCTTATGAGCTACTACCAGTTATAGATTATTGCACAATTATACCAGTGAAACCTAAGAGCATCCAACTCGTAGGAAGGCTTTGATGCAGAAAGTCCACCTTATTGCAAATATAGTTGTAACAATTGATAAACCACAGCAAGTTGGTTAATGAAGTGCAGTCTCTTGTTTTCAAATATGTATATTTTGAAAATGTATGTATGTGCTGCTGTTTAAAATAAAATCAGCTTTTCTGAACTGAACGAGCTCTTAAGTGTGTTTCATTTGAACTTGTTGAACAATTTAGTTTAGGTGCTCAATGGAAACTTTTTGCTTCTGTCAGAATTCTGCCCCTTTTCAGACACTTTGTTTAGTTTTGTAAATGTTGTTTAAGGCCTAAAGTGTTTGTTGGGTATCAGAAGATTGTTCTACTCTAAAAAGAATGGGTTTATTTAAACATATATAAACTATTCTTTTATAGTACAGTCAACATCTCTGTTGCTCAGATAGGGACAGCAGTGATGCAGGGCTCAAATACCTGACTAGGCTCAAGGCCGGTGCTTTTCTCATACCTCTGTTTTGTTTATAAACAAATTTATAAACAGCAAAATCTGAAACCAACCATTACCAATCCATGTAGTTTGATGCACAGCAACAGAGGGAACACAAAGATAATCAGATGACCCAGTGAACTTCAGATGCCTCACAAACACTGCTGGGACTGTTGTGGTTTAACCCTAGCCAGCAACTAGCCACTTGCTCACTCCCCCCCACCGATGGGATGGGGGAGAGAATCGGGAGGGTACAAGTAGGAGAACTCACGGGTTAAGATAAAAACAGTTTAATAATTGAAATACAACAAAGCAGAACAGTAATAATAATAATGGTGACAACAACGCTAACAATATACAAAGCAGGCAATGCAAAATGTAACTGCTTACTACCCACAGACCAATGCCCCTGCATGTTGCAAGTGCCAGAGCCCCCCCTTCCTGGACCATGCCTCCTAATTATATACAGAGCATGATGTCACATGGTATGGAATACCCCATTGGCTAGCTGGATCAGCTGCTATGCTTCCCTCCCCTCCAGCTTCCCATGCACCTGGCAGAGCATGGGAAGCCAAAAAGTCCATGGTAAAGTGCTGCTTGGCAACAAACAAATGTTCCTCTCATACCAAACCCAAAACACAGCACACACCCAGCTACTGGGAAGAAAGTTAACTCTGTCCCAGCCGGAATCAGGACAATATCCACCCCTTATTCTATACCATCTACATCATGCCCAGGTCTCACATTTTCCAATACATTCCAATTAGTCATCACCACTTTTCCTGCCTTTTGATATATACACACAGGTAGCATTCCCTTAGTCTATGGGCCATCCCTCTAAAATGTCCATTGAGTTCATTTAGTCCATGACTTTGGGCTCCATCAGTCATAACAGTCTTTCAGGGCAAGAAAGATGGTGTGTTGTGTTGGATTATTGCATCCTGAAGCCAGTTCTGGTTCCATTATCCCTGTGTTCGTCCAGTGCTATCATCGTTGCACTTTGCTTGGTTTCATCAAAGGTGGGCTAAGTCAAGCATGAAAGAGCAGCTGTTGTTCTTTTAGACAAACTGCATTTAGACTGATGTCCTCAGAACAGGGAGAAAGCATTTCTTTAGTTTAAAACTGGATGCGTTTGGACTCTATACTTGCATGGTACTAAAGAAGCAAACTAAGGTACCAAACAAAAGGAAAGCAGAGCTTCACCATGTGTAACTGTTACTTGGGAAAACAAACACCAT